ATAAAAACTACCTATCAAAATTTGTAAGATAATTACAACGGTAATTAGTGAAAAAGTATAGTGTTAGACACATTTATTTGAAAACAAGGAAGACTAAAAACAAATTATTTAAGGGTTTAAACAGAAGTTAGAAAAAAAAAACCAATCCAAAGAAATAAGAAGTAGAGATATTATACATTTATGATAAAAATTTAAGGTGCACTAAAAATAATAAAGATTAACAAAACCAAATTCTAGTACTTTGAAGACATTAATAAGAGAAGTGCTTTCTTCCTTGCAGGAATGATTAGGATAAAGAGAAAATAGACAAATAACAAAAATACAGAATGAAAAAAAAAATAAAATAGAGACAGATGAGAAAAATATTATAGAAGAATATTATGAAAAACTATCCATTAATAGATTTGAAAACTATGTGAAATGGAAAATTTCATGGGAAGTTTTCCATGAAAATTCATTTCTGGAAAATATAAAATGCCAAAATTGGTGAAAGAGAAACTGGAAAAATTTAATAGACCAATAAGCAATAATGAAGTTAAAATGATAATCAAGCTCTTTTTTTTCCACAAAGGCCCCAAATCCAGTGGTTTTAAAGTAACTTCTACCAAAGTTTTAAGAAATAGACAACTCTGGGAAACAGAAAAATGGTGAAACATTAGACATCATTTTATGAAACTATTGTATTTTTGATTCCAAATTCTGTCAAAAATGGTACTAAAGGCCCATTTAACTTTTGAACATAGACGTGAAAAATGCAAAATGAAATATTAGCTAAACAAATATAAAAGAGTAAAAGTAACATATGGCCATGGAGGGTTTAGCCTAGAGGAGCAAAGATGGTTCAACCTCAGAAAATGTATTGGCACGTTAATCCAAAAAAGAAAAATCTTGACCATCTTAATAGATATTAAAAAAGCATTTTTATAAAGTTCAACATCCATTTATGTTAAAATGTCTTAGCAAACTATGTGCAGAAGGGAACTTCCTTAATGTGGTGAAGATTTATGCCCCTAACCTATAGCAGACGACATACTTTAGACTTTGAATTCATTCTTTTTAAGATTAGGAACATATGCTGATGCTTAATATAATATAAAAGGTACTGCCCAACTCTATAAGCTAAAAACAAAGCAATATTAGTCTAATGAATGGGAGAAGGAGTATTAAATGATCATTTACTGATGATATGATCTAAATAGAAATCTATCAGAATCAACAGAAAAAAAAATGGAATAAGAGAGCTCAGGAAATTGCAAGACACAGATCAACTCAGAAAAATCAATTATATCTCTCTGTAACACCAGCAAACAATCAGAATAAAATAGAAAACCAGGAGCCTTCATAATGGCAACAAAATTTATACAACATATGGAAATTAACAAGAAATAAACATAATTTCTGTGAATAACATTTAAAAAAAGATGAATCAGTACAGAATTATATCATATATATGAATGAGATGTTTTAACATTATAAAGATTTCAAGTCTAAAATAGTTGACAATTTTAGTGTGATCCAAACCAAAATTCTAATGGATTTAGGAATGTGACAAAGGTATTTTATGTACAGGAGTGTATAGGTTCATGAATATTGATGTTTACTTTGGAAAAGAAGAAGTAAAACTTCCGTTATCAGCTATTAAGACATAGCACAAAACTCTGGAAATAAAAATAGTGTGTTTTTGGTACAAGAACAGAAGAATAGACCTATTGAACAGAAATAACTCATAGACTGATTCCAATATATGCAGAAACTTGATGTCATAAAGGTCAATGGGCAACAGGACAAAGTATTAATAGTTAATATAAAATGTTGAGAGAGCTGGCCCAATATACAGAGAAAAAGCTAGAGCCTTACATTGTATACAAAGTTGACCTGGGTGAATGGAAAACCTAAATGTGAGAAGTAAAACCAGAAAATAATAGAAGAATATATGGAACGGAGAGGAAAGGAAGGATTCTTTAACATACCCTGAATAAAACAAACCATTAGGGGAATAATCGATGATTCCGATTACACAAAACTTAAGGAGTTTTGTATTAAAAAAGACAACACAGAAAAAGTTAACAGATGAGAAAACAGAGAAATATTTGCCATGTCCAGGACCAAAGAGAGATCAATATCTACAATGCAAGGAACTCTGCAAATAAACAAGAAAAAAAAAAAAAACTCAAGAAAATTATGAGCAAAGGATATGAACAGCAATTCACAGAAGGGAAAAGTGAATGGCTAGCATATATATTAAGAGATGCTCAAACTCAGTAATATTCAGAGGAATGCAAATTAAGAATAGGATAAAATTCTGTACTTATTTTAATTAGCAAAAATTGCATGCAATTTATATCCGTGGTTCGGCAGTATGCGGGATAACAGGGACTTTTGTGACCTGCTATTGGGAATGGAAACTTGTTAGACATCCAGGAGAACAACTGAGGCAGGGCTGGCTTAAATGATGTAAGTGTTTATGGTAGGAATGCAGAATCCCACTTGTGGGTGATCTCAGAAAATTTTTTTGCATAAATCTGGAGGAACTATGAACGTGAATGTTTGCTGCTTACTCTTTGTGTCATGCGGAAATGGAGTTAACTTGTGTGTCCCCCAGAGGGGAAACTGTTCAGTAAAATGTAGTGGGTGGGCATCAGGGGATACTACCCAGTAGACAAGGGCCACAAAACTGAGGTACTCAGAGCAACAGGGACAGATCTTTCAAATTTAGCACTGAATTTAAAAAGGGAGAAAAGTATGGTCCTTAGCCCAATGTGATTTATGTAAATCAAACTATACACACACACACAAAAACAGTTCTACATTTCTGGAGATATCTACACATTTGAGGATACATAAAAATGTATTTGAACTGTTGCCTGTAGGAGGAGGGGAATGGCAGTACTAGATTACAAAAGTAGGAAGGCAATATAATAGTAAAATAGGAGAGCAAACTAGCCTGCGCCGATGGTGATATTAGCCATGAACCCAGGCAGGAGATAAACTCAACCATCTGCCTTTGAAATGCAGAAGGGAAGACAAAATGATTCTACATTTATACATATATGTCCATGTGTCTTTATTTTCTTGTTTCCCACCTAACACGGACGGCTTAAAATGAGAGGTTTTAAAACTTTGAAGTCACCATTGAAAGAAAGAACTAAATTTCCGGTTGCTACGATTCGGAGGAAGGAAGCGGTCTGCGTCCTTAATTTAGAGAGGTCCAGTCCAGCGCTCCTTAACTGTTCTTGGCACCTGGTTTTACTTGGCCTCCCCTTGTAGCCTACAGAAAATTCCAGGGAGACACTGCGGAATGAAGGCTTTGGAGCAGGCCTCCCACCCCACCCCCACTTGGCCTACCCAGACCCTCCCACTTTGATGGATGCTTTTCTTCTCGTCGAGCTGCATCAGCCATATTAGCAACTTTATGGGCTGATACCTGACCCCCTGGCAATCCCACCCGGCAAACGCAGGTTGTCACAGGCAACCTGGTCCTCAGACAATGTCCAGGTTTCCTAGATAATAACTTCTGAAGATTTATTTTTTTCATTAAAAGGCTGTTAGATTCCTTAAATTTTATTTGTAACATGGTACAAACCAGATTAATTGAAAGCCCGTGACTTTTCTTCTGAGGTGGCCTTTGTCCCCTCCTAAAGTTAAAAATAAGCATTTTTATGGGGCCTCTGACAGGCCAGGTCTTCTAACTCTGGCCTTAAGCTTAGGTTACAACGATTCCTGGTGTATTGGTCCTGGTTTTGGAAAAACCTTGGATCTGATATTTTCCCACCTCCATCTTATACGACACCACGTCCTCCATCCTGCAGGTTTCAGCCTCCGTGACTATTTTTTTTTTCTGTGAAGACACAGAGCATCTGGAAAAGATCCTTTGTTCAATAAATGTCCCTGAACCTGAAGCCTATTAACAGTTCCCCAAGCAGGCGTTACTCCTTTCCCTAATCAATTTCTGTTATATCAACATCTCTAACGATGAGACTACTGTGGAAGGCTGTAATTCTAGGTATTTAGCAGATTCTCTAATAACGGTCCATTTCGTGATTGTGGGCGCGCACCTGGAGTTTGTCAGCGTCTGTGCTTCATCTGAAAAACCCAGTGTTTTTCCTATGGCTTTGGTGTTGACTTAGCCTCCGTCATTCAAGTAAGGTCAGTAGTAGTAGATGCTATTTCATAACAAATTACCGGTCTCCTGAGTAGGAGAAACATGTCATTAAGGCAGAATACTCCATCTATTAAAAGTATTAAATTTTGTTATTTCTCACTACAACAAGTTCAGGGATCAGAGAGGTCGGGGCCTGTAAGTAAGCACACCTGCGTTGTATGGGCCTTGGGTAGAATAATTGAGAGTCTTGAGTTTCCAGTTACCTTTATCATGAGCACATCTTTGGATCTAATTACCTTTATAAAAATATACCTGTATTTGAAAGGCACCTTTTCCTCTCATTAGTTGGATGGCTTTGAATAAGTTAATTCACCTCCCTAAGACAGGTTCCGGCGCCTATGAGGATTCCTTCATTCACTTAGCAAGCACTTATTAAATACCTACCATGTGTGAAAGACACTGTTTTGGGTGCTGGGAATAGCATTGTCGACAAGAGAGGCGAGGTCACCTCTCTGTGGAACTTCCATTCTTGTTGACATTTAAGTGCCAACAAAAAATAAAAATATGATAGTGATACAGCACAAGTATTAATACTTATAGAGCAGTTACAAAGCTTATCCACTGGAGGGGTTGTGAGGAGCAAAGAGGAAATGGACCTCTGCAGCTCCTGGTGCATAGTATGTGCTCAATAAATGGTAACAACTTGAGTTGGAAGAAGACCTGTAGTTAAAGGCTGTCGCTTTCCTGTCCTCATCGAGAGACCAACGGGCTTCATGGCAGGGATGCAGCCAATGACCGGGGGAAGCGGTGCCGGAGCACCCACAGAAACTTTTTCATGGTCAGGTGTTGGAGGGGAGCCCTGCTGCCTGTTGGTTTCCTGAGACACAGTGGGATGGACATGGAGGTGGGTGCAACTGCCTGCCTGTGGAGCACATCCCGCCCGGCACCTCCCCTCTCAACCACAGGCTTCCCTCTACCCAGAGACCGCACTGGGATTATTTCCAGCGCCCCACCGTGGTTCGAGGCTCCCTTACGACTAAACTGGCGCGTGCGCGTGCCTGCAGTGGGGTGGGCGGGAAGGAGAACAGGCCAGCGTTCTTCCTCTTGGCTCCTGAGAATCTCGGGCCGTCCACTTTCTCTGGCCCCGCCTCTGCTTCCTGGGGCTAATGTAGGGGATCTCTTGGGCCCCCTCCCCCAGCTGAGACACAATGCAATGCTAAATTCAGCGAGGTTCCCATCTTCATTCCTGTGGGACTCATGTCTAGGAAAGGGAAGAAGCTGCCCTGACAGCTGGATCTCACAGGGCCTGGCCATGCACCGTGGCCCAGAGCCGTCTCTCTAGAACCTTGACTTTTTCTCTGCGTTGTACAAAAGCTTGGCTCGTGCTCCCTGCGTTATAAAACAACATTGTACGCGGCCGCTTAATAGACTGAGACTATCTCTGGTGCTGTACTTTGTGGTCCTTTTGGAAGGGACTGTAAAATGTGATTGAAAGGCATGCACAAGGAAGGAAAATAGAAGCGGTGTGGCTTGACAAGTCAGCAGAAATCGAGTTTGCGTTTCTGAACCACTCAGCGGAGGGAAAGCCAAGTAATTGGAGATACATCAACATGACTGAACACATTTTTATATTATCCTTATTTAAATATTTGCTACATTCGTTACAACAGGGAGGCCTGTTGACCTTTCCTTGGGGACGCTGACTCTTGGGCCCTTGGCATTTGTTTCCCTAAAGCCACTGATCGCTCCAGCTCCCCGGCCTGGGTCTTGGCCGTGAAGCTCGAGGGGCAGCTACGCCCGATACGCTGATGCCTTCCCGGCCAGGCCAGGCGCAGCTCCGTGCCTGGGCTGGCGCCGCCGGCCTCTAAGCCCCCGCGCCGGCCGGCCAACACAAACACCCCGATCCCCCTGAACTCGCTGAAAGGAGCTGGGTTGGGTTAGAGACTAGAACTCCAATTCCTGCTCCTGGAAAGCCCGGCCAGGTCTCGCAGTTCTGATATGTCACAACAGACTGGAAGTTCTAAGAGGAACAAAACAAAACACTGACTTCCTATAGGAATTCTACGTGACAGTAAAAACATTCAGCACGAAAGAATGTCACGTTGGGTACTGTGACAGGTACCTGGGGCCTGAAGAAGGTGAGTTCATTAATCAGGTTGTATTTCAAGCCAGAAGAGGAATGTCCTCCATGGACAAGATTTAACGGCTCTGTCGCCCGGGGCCACGTGGACTCCTCGAGGCAGTGGTGTCAGGCATGCAAGGCAAGTCGGGGCACGAGTGACCTCTCGGCGGCTAATGGAACGTTTACCCCTTGTAAGTTTATCCTCCAATTTTTAAAAAATAGCGTTTGCTGACACACAGCCTTCATTAAGCTGCCAGAGACTTGCGATAATAGCAGGAAGCGCTGCACAGATAAACCCAATACGGCAGTCAGGGAAGATGGGAATTAGTCAATTAAATCATTAATGGATATTTGAAATGCCTTTATAATGGGGGCGCCAATGCGGTCCCCACATTAAAATAAAGGAGAAAACATCTTATCTCATTCCATGGTTCTTGTTGGGGCCAAAAGATTCTCCCTTGAACTCACTGTGTTTATAGATGGCAAGGAACGAGGTTTATTTGAACTGGTTTTGTTTTGAGTTTGTGTGGGTTTTTCCTCTCAACTGCAGAATGTATTCTCTGACTTTCTGCCTCTCCGAGTCTGGTTTTTGCTTTTTGTAGCGGTGCCAGAGTTTATCACCACTCACTTCTGGATAGTGTTAATGCTGCAGTCACTTCCTGTCTGCAAAACAATTGTAACATTCACCAGAGTTCTGGGTGTTACGGGCCACGTGGGGGATTGTTACCTGAAATGGCTAAAAAAATAAAATAAAATTTGTTTTTTTAAAAAAAACTTAGCATGAGATGCTCACCCTGTTTGCAGAGCCATATTGTTCTACGTCAAACACGTGCCCATCAAGTCAATGGGAAGAATAAGGCAGACCTATAAACACCAAAGGGAGAAAGGCAATTGTTAGAATTTACCTGCAAGTGCAACGCGGAGCTTTCTCTCCCCCTGCCTCACTGTGGCCAGAATTAGCTGAGGGGAGTCGGTTCATGAACAGCAATGGTTCTCATACTTGAATGAGCATCAGCACCGCTGGGGGAATTTATGAGAAAACTTGCACCGTGCAGCCCCGTCCCCAGAGTTTCTGCTTCGGTCAGGCATGGGGAGGGGGTCCTGAGAATCAGCATTTCTAGCAAGTTCCCGTAGGATGCTGATGCGGCCAGTCCAGAGAGCTGGGTTTGAGAACTACTGACACCGGGTAAAAAAGGCACAAAGGGCCTTGTCAGTGGAGGTCAAAAGGGAAGGGGCTGAAATTCCATGCTGGACATAATACTTCAATTCTCTTGTCCTGTTTGAAGGAGAAAACATCTTATGAAAGATGATTTTGTTGTTTTAAATGTGAATGCAGACATTCTTGGCTTCACGGAATAGAACAAAGCAATCTCCATACAAATGAATCCTGTCTGCTCACTGACCTCAAGTCAGGGGTGTATTATTCCCTGAACGTGGAATTCCCTGGGACAGCTGAGTAGGAAAATTTAGGGAAGGAGGAGGGTTCCAGGTTACACATTCTGCCTGTACGGTCTGGGACTGCATCATTTTCTTGATGCTGTAACCACTCCTCCCAGCCACTTTTTACCTATTTATTCTGCCTCAACACTTGGCACTTACCTTGTCATTAGAAATTTCTCCTGTCCTGTAGATTAACTAATTGTATATGACACACTCTTAGAATTGAACTCTCCACTGGTCACTTGAGTTTTTTAACGTCTGACATTAGTAGACATTTAATAGCTGACTTTGTAGAAATGGGCACCTAAATCTTTGGCCATGCCTTGAGAGTGCTTTAAATGGAAGTCCTCAGGTTATGTAAAAAACACCAGTGCCATGCGTTATCAATCCCCAAATCCAAAACTGCCAAAAAATTGTATTTATGATCACGGTAAAACCTGTGGAGATGTTCATGCACCAGGGTTTTTAAGTAAGAACTAGTAAGAAAATCTTGTAATGGTGAAAGCAACAGAGAATTTTAATACTTAATTATCTTTCTAAATAGAAACTTGGGAGTTGCTGAAGACAATTAGAAACAGGACTCATCTGTGCTTTCAAAATGAGGAGGGGCAGGGAGCCTTCATGAATTATTGCTTTGGAAAAGTTTTGAAGGAATTCACAGAATGTAAATGATTCATTATTTTCATGGTCCCAAACATGTCAGCAAGTGTCAGAAATACATATCATATTTGGAGGTTGCAGTTAAATATCGGATCGTGCTATAGATAAAATCATGTGTCATTGCCTGAGGCCTAGAAATTGGAAAGGGCGGGCAGTCAGATTTAGTTGGGGGTGACTTTTCCTGTGCAAGGGAAGAAAAGGAAGACAGAAAAGAAACAAGGCTGTTCCTTGACTTTATTTTTATTTATTTATTTTTTTTGAGACAGAGTCTCGCTTTCTTGCCTAGGCTAGAGTGAGTGCCGTGGCGTCAGCCTAGCTCACAGCAACCTCAAACTCCTGGGCTCAAGCGATCCACCTGCCTCAGCCTCCCGAGTAGCTGGGACTACAGGCACGAGCCACCATGCCCGGCTGATTTTTATATATATATATATTAGTTGGCCAATTAATTTCTTTCTATTTTTATGGTAGAGACGGGGTCTCGCTCAGGCTGGTTTTGAACTCCTGACCTTGAGCAATCCGCCCGCCTCGGCCTCCTAGAGTGCTAGGATTACAGGCGTGAGCCACCGCGCCCGGCCTGTTCCTTGACTTTAGAGTTACCTCTTTGGCCTTAAAGGCTTAGCAGTGTTGGAGCTTGGAAGCTGCCGGGACTCTGGTAAAGAAGTCATTTGCCTTTCTCCATTTTTTTTTTTTTCCGCCTCCATCTCATCCCATCCTCTGCTCTGCTCTGTCTCTGTTATAGTACAGACTGCCGTGAAGCTGGCCTTCTGGCTTCCCTCTCTGGTCCCCGCAGGGAAGCACATGTGACAGTCCTCACTCCCTGCCCCATCCACCTGTTCTACATAGTCTCACCCATAGCGCCTTGGGCTCCCCGTGTCTCCTCGTAAATGTGCTCAAAAGGATAATTGTGGTTTCTCAGTTACAGGCTCAATATGAGGTGACAGTTTAGTGGTCAGTCCAGCTGTATCGGGAGTGAAAATTATCCACGCTTGTCTGCACCCGTGCTCACCGAGCTGTGCAGCTCTACCTTTTTCCGGCTGATTTAGCCTTCGCTCCCCTGTGGAGTGCGGGGCCGAGTCCCTTGGCTGGCAGAAAACTGGCCCCCTCGCCTTTAGGAGCTTGTCGGGCCACAGGGGTAATGAAGAGGTCTGGCGTGCTCAGATTTATCTCTTTGATGAATTGCAGGAAACCATTGTTTTTAACAATGCCAAAATAACTAGTTGCTCCCCACGTAGGAGGAAAAGTATTTCTAAATTATATTCTTCTCTCTGTGCTAGTTCCTTCCCTAGTTTACCTCTGAATTTTGCTCGAGGTAAAATTTGCGCCTTTGAATAAGGCTTGTTGTATAATCATGATCTGGTTAAGAGGAAGACAGGAAGAAATGGAAATATTATTAAGGGGTCTGTGGATCCCCGAGTTATTAGGAACTTTGTGGTTTCTAACGCCTCCCTTCAGAGTCCGAGAGAGGTTACTCTCAGGATCTAAGTGCAGTTTCTCTCCAAGATTCTTCTAGAAGGAACATTGTCATAAGTTAGTGAAGTCCGAAGTGGAAGAGCCTGCATTGTGTGCCATCTGAATGATTTTTCCCTTATCTTCCTCATGCATCTGTTCGGCTGCACTTTTCTTCTGGAAATCCAGTGTGCATTTTAATCAGGAAATGAGAAGTGGCACACGGCTCAGCCTGTGGATTAAGCCTGTGTCGGCATCGGCTCCCAGGGTAGGGGAAGCCTTTGTGATTTTGCAGAATGTGTTTTCTCCCTGGCTTTATCGGGGTTTTGTGCGCAATACTCTGGAGTCTCTAGATGAATGCAGCCCCGAGTCCTTCCAACTGTTTTTCAAGGCAGCAATCCTCCAATATTTTCTCACGTTCTCAACTGATCAAATGTATAGTATTCATTCCTTTAGTCGTAAAACACAGCATGCGCTCAGTACTGTAAGTGCAGTGAAGGTACAGACAGAAGTCAGACATGGCTTCTACTCCCAAGCGTTCTGGGGTGCAAGATGCAGGGAAGTACAGGGTACAGCGGGAATCCCAGAGAGGAAAGGGGCAAGTCTAGTTCAAATTGAAAAGTCTGGGTGGGAAATTTCCTAGAGAAGCTGATTCACGAGCTGTGTTGTGAAAGATGAGGGGACCAGGAGTGGCGTTTCAGGGTGGAGGGGCAGGATGACAGAAAGCACAGAGCCATGAAACCGCCTGGCGTGTGCAGGGAGCAGCAGGGAACTCGAAAGTTTGCAAAGTGTGCCTATTTGGTGAAGGCGGCTGGAAAGGGGTGGTGGTCAGATGTGGAGAGGAGGTAGACAGCCTCGGATGACGCACTTGTGAGGACTTCTTACTATTTAAGTTTGTGCAGCTGAAGTTGTGGACAATCATTTGTGCACTTAGCGGTGGATTTTTCCTCCCAGTAGAGACCTGTATCCTATTTGGCTGTCACAAAACCCAGAGTCTCTTTAGTCTGTAAACTAGAGAGAACACAATCAAAGCCAGGATGCATTTCATCTCCCTCCTCTGCATACACCGGAATTCCAAAATATAAATTGCATTTCTGTCGGATTCTCTGTGCTTCTGACGCTGCCTGCATCCGGGGTGAGAATGGAGCTGAGAGCTGAGGCTGACGAATTCCCCGGCCTTGATCTCAACGTGCCTCGACAGAGTCTGAGCCTGCCTGTCTCCACGCATAGTCACAGCCTGGCTCCGATTCCAGCAGATTTAATAGCTCCTCATCTAGTTTTCCAGTCTTCATCAACATGCTTCTAAGTAATTGTCCTCACATCCCATTACCATTTTCTTGAATCTTCCCTGCAGAGGAAAACCAACACACCAACCCGCCATTCTGGCTAAACGTTGGCAGATGCCTTGTAAAGTTTCATAAAACATACATTAAGCAATTCAGCCGAAAACCTGTTGGAACAAGCCATTTGACTTTAACGAACTATCCCTATTGAATGGGTTTGTCATATTTACACTGTGTCTTTCAGTAACTAGTCTCTTTTTAAGCAAAAAAAAAAAAAAAAAAAAAAGTGAGTCACTGCCCAGGAGAAAGACAGACATACAAAGGGTGAAATTCCTTGCTTGCAGCCTTGTAAATACAGCAGA